CTTCACTAACTGGGTACCTCGTACCCTCCTTCACCTTGCTTCAATTACATGTTGAAACTTAAACTTTCACCTTATGATACTCCCATGGCCCAATATTCACGGGGTGTATTTGATATTCCCATCTTAGGGTCTTAAGCTGGAAATTTGCACATCTGGTATGCACGATCTGATGGGGCCTCAAATAGGGCCACGTCGTCAATAACTCTCTCTCTCTCTCTCTCTCTCTCTCTCTCTCTCTCTCTCTCTCTCTCTCTATTAGTGCCCTTACTTGTATCTATATTAGATATCTAGATAGCTGTAATTTTTTTCTAATTGAAAATATCTCTATACCATCAACAAACATAAGTCTTGGCTCGAACTCTTATGACTCAACTCTATAGCACGATTTGGTTTTGAAAGAAGGGTAACAGACTCTTAAATGCCTTGTAGCTTCCTATTTATATAATGTGGTGCACAACACATCTATAAACAAGGCTCTACAAGACACGGCTTGTATACTCCCTAGGATAGAACTGCTCTGATACCAAGTTTGTCATGCCCCGAACCTGACAAGGCGTGGCCGGCACTTGGTGCCATACTCGGCCAGAGCGTACCACTCTGTAATTGTAAAAATTGGAGGGATAACCCTCAACTTAGGACGATGAGGCCATATTCTGAATCATATGAAATATCATCTCTCTTATCTGAGGGGTAAACGTACCCAAAAACTCAATATATATAACTGAGGCAGGTTGATGAGGCCGCCATGAATCATCTACTAATATATAAACTATACAAGACTTGTCTACAAGCCTTTAGAGATAACTGAACTGTACCATAGTCGGGAAAGGGTCTCGACCTACCCATCAAACCCGTATATATAAAATGGACTCCAAGGTCTAGACCTGGTAACTCCGAGGAAGTGGAGCTTACCAACCAAGCTGATGTTTGACTCTGCCTGCTCGGAGGGTCTGTCCAACTGTCATTCAGGACCTGCATGCATGAAATATAGTTTCCCCGACAAAAGGGACGTTAGTGCGAAATAATGTACCGAGTATGTAAGGCAACGGAATAACTGAAAGCTGAAACTGAACTGATAATATAATAACTGAAACTAATTGGGAGTCAAAGATGATCTGAAGATATGCTTACCTGTTGATACTAACTCAACTCTCTCAATATAGTAAGTAAAATAGTTGTCCGGCCTTATAAGGCTCGGTATGTGTAACTGCTCTGCCGTAGTAGGCTCGCTTATAGGGGCTCGACCATACTAGGCACTGTATCTCGGCCATTCTAGGCTCTCTCATAGGCACTCGACCACAGTAGAATCGGTATATAACTTACCATATGATCAGAGGTTTCCCAATAAGGGACTGCCCATCGATTATAGCTCGATGGTGGTGAAAATATTATAATACTGTATATATATAGACTCTCTACTATCTTAGCTGAAAGAAGACAAAACTAAACTGAATATGAAGTCCCGATAAGGGAGAATGGTATAACTTATGAGACTAGAAAAATGTACATAAATTCAGGAATATGAACTTCTCTTTATGTATCGTTATCAAACACATGTAGTTACAGGATCATGCCAAATGAAGGAAAGGTTTAGCCTTAATATATCTTATCACAATATGTCCAATAACCACGTTAAACTCATCTTGTTGAACCTTAATCTACAACAATGATAACAATAATATCATCAAGTTATGGAAGGTGCAACTATCACACAACGAACGACAAGCTGATTTTGTAACAAAACGGGCAGCATCTCCCCTATAATTTCCTTCCCCCTAATTCGTGATAACACCAACAACGCAAGAACACAACAATAAAAGCATACATATATCATTATCCAACCTTATATCCATCACAAAATATCACAACACAGCCCAACATACCCCTATCACTCCATACACAAAACGACAACCATAGTAGTATCAAACAACCCAAAAATGTAACGATGATGACCAGCCAACCACCCTGCCATTATGTGGTCTTTTTCCACACCCTTAATCCTCCAAAACTCCACAAAAACCGCAGCTAAATAGACAACCCAACAGAAACATGAAACAGCCCACAAAATAGTCTACTACAAGTTGAACAACTCGAACTCACAGCTTCCAATCACCTTCCCGTGAGTTCATATAATTATTAAATGAATTTGTCTACTTTAACAGCAGAAAAATGGATGAAAACGGGTAGTATACTTATCATATTTGGTGAACGTCTCAGCTCCTATCTTGATTCTTCAACCCTTAGGTTTTTCTCCAACTAGAACTTGAAAAGAAGAGAAAATTATTGAAGGTTTTGTGTTGAATTTTTGGGAGGATTTTGCTGGGGTGTACATCTGATTTTTTTGATCTATCATGAGTGTAATATCTGAAGGAAATAAGCCCTTAAACGGGCACTTTGTTCGACCTTGGAGCTTTTAGTTGAGGCCTCTCTTTTGGAAAGTAGGTGATGCACCTACTTGTCACCTACCAGTCTACGCAGTCTCGCAAAAATGTGAATATCTCTCTATTCCTATGTCATATCAATGAATGGTTTACTCCGTTGGATACTAGACTCATAGATCTTCAATTTGTAGGTAGATCATCTTGTAATTCCATGTACACTGGGAGAAACGCTCAGATACATTTGACCTAATTTTCAGCATATTTATGAATGTAACTTGTGATGACCTTTGCCAACTTTTATTCCACAACTCGCTTGAATTCAAAATGTAATATCAACTATCATAAAACTAACATAAATCATAACATAATCTCCTTATCATGTTAAGCACCCTAATATCACCCCAAAAGTACATGTTATAACATTCCCAACTTGTCGATATTCAACAAAATTTATTTTCTTCAATTTATTTAGCTTCTAAGCCTTTCAACCATCTTGGTACTTATTATACATGATCTTAAATATATGTAATCTCCAAGGTAACATGATTAAATTACGTTATGTGCTTTCAAAGATGATCTCATTTGTGAGCCTAGATCAATTACTTACGACGTACTCTCACATACGAAAATATGGGGTGTAACAAAATTGTGGGGTTTTTGGTAGAAAACCTAGAATTTGGTATTTTGGATTTTGACCACGAAATTGGGCATGAAATTGAGAATAAACTATGTATTTGAGTTCAAAAGGTTATGATTAAAGTTTATCTTCGAATATTTTCGGAATTCGGGCACGTGGGCCCGAGGGCGATTTTATCGACTTTTCAAGCGGAGTTGGGAATTGTTGTAAATAGGATTGTAAAGAGTATTTGAGTATATATTAATGGGTTTGCACAATTATTGACTAGTTTTGGAGTGTTGGGCATCGGTTTGAGTCGTCGGAAGGGCTTGGGAGCCGGTTATGGAATTTCGGAGCGAGGTAAATATCCTTTCTAACCTTGTAAGACGGAATTAACCTCATAGCTGAACTAAATTATTGTGTGCTTCTATTGTAGGGGCTACGTACGCACTATGTGACGAGAGTCCTTACGTAGTTACTAGCTATGCCTATGTCCGGGTAGTTTTAGGCTTACATCATGCCTTGTTGATATTGTTATTGACTTATGTTTATTGTTTGCCTTGAGAGGGATCGAGATTGAGTTTGCTTATTAAATGTTTTGAAAGGAGTTGAAATTAAAGAATTTAAGATTTAAAAGGTTCCGTTTGAACTTCGTAATTTCGAAAGGAATTGAGGAATATTGTAATAGCTTAAGAAATCTATATATAATCCCATCGCATGTATGTTTCGCGAGCGGGGTAATATCCTTAAAAAGGTACTAGCTGAATTTCCCTTATTTTGAAAAGAATCAAGAAAGAGACATGATTTTAAATGTTAAATTTATATTTGACAGTGTCGCATGTATGAATCGCGAGCGGGTATTTCCTTCTACTACTCTTATGAGATTGGGCCGTTCACCTCGGCAGGATTTATGTACCACACTCTCATGGGAGTGGGTTGTTCTCCTTGGCAAGTTAATAGATGCAACTATGGTTTACGTTGTTCGACCCTCAGCAGTGCACAATTTACTTTTATGTTGGATCGGACCGTACACCTTAGCATTTCTTATATATATTATCATCATGGAATCGTGCGTAAAGAAGCCAGTGTATCTGAGGGATTTTTCCCTGATTTGAATCATGACAACTTCTTTGATGAAATCCACTATATATATATATATATATATATATATATGCCCCTGTTACGGAGGGAACTTGCTAGTTGAGAGCTTGAGTAAAATTATGAACAGGGAAATTGTACCATATATTTATACTTGTTTGTTTCATATATTTACTTTGTCTCGTATTTATTCAATTCTTTAGTGTACCTGATATTATTGGACCACTAGTAAGTGTCGAAGTCGACCCCTCGTCACTACTTCTTCGAGGTTAGACTGGATACTTGTTGCGTATGCGTTGTTGCCATACTCATGCTACACTTGCTGTACATTTTGTTGTACGGGAACATGTGTGTTCAGTGGCCTTGTGGGTGCAGCGACGTGGTTGATACGGGGACTTAGGTGAGTTGCATCTTATGAGACGATCCGCAGCCAGCAGAGTCTCCTTCAGATTACTTGTATTTTATTTTCTGTCCAAATTTGTATTCCGGATAGTTATTGTATTGTATTTTAAATTTCTAGTAAATGCTTATGCACTTGTGACACCGGGTTCTGGGTGGATTATGGGATATTCAGTATTAAGATTTGAAAATATTATTAAATATTTCTGCAAAGTTCATCTTTTTTACTAGTTAAATTGAAGGAAATTTATGATTTTAAAATATAAAAATGAAAATTTAATTAACTATTTAGTATTGGCTTACCTGACAGAGGTTTCCGGCGCCATCATGACCTTTAATGGATTTGAGTCGTGACAATCCTAATGCACTAAAAACTGTTTGAAATAGCTTTGTAATGATGTTACTAAACTTTCATCTCCTCTTGCAAACAACAGAAGGTCATCAGTAAAGCTTAAATGTGTTATCCCCGGTCTTGCACATCTTGGATGATACTTGAACTTTTTATCCTATTTAAGGCCATTCAAATTCCTACTCAGGTACTCCATAGAAATGACAAAGAGAAAAAGGAAAATGGGGTCACCTTGCCTTAAACATTTGGCAGCAGAGAAAGGCACAGTGTTTCCCCATTTACCATGATAGTATAGCTGACAATTTTGACATATTGCATGATCCAAGAAATGTATCTAACTGGAAAACCTAGCTCCTCCATAACCTGCTCCAAGAAGAGCCACTCAACAGAATCATATGCCTTCTGCAAGTTTAATCATGACTGTATCCGAAATGTTCTTCCTGGTATACCCTTTGAATAATTCACATGCCAGTATAATATTATCATCAATGCTTTTTCTTGGGATAAATCATGTTTGTGCTTCAGAAATCACATGAGATATAACCTTCTGCAGCCTAGCAGCCAATACCTTAGAGATGATCTTATAGAGTACTGAGAAATAAGCAATTGGTCTATATTCTTTCACTGTGCTAGGATTTGCAACCTTAAGAATCAAAGTAATCATTATGCAGTTAGTAGGAGCATACATCTTCCTAGATATGAAGAATTCTATAACTACATCACTTATATACATCAATACCTGGTGGTTTATCATCACCAATCGATGCTACAACTTTAGTAATCTCTTCCTCAGTCACTGGTTTATATAACATTGTTCTATGTAGCTGATTCAATTTAGGTCCATTCCTCATTGTAAGTTTGTCTATTGCTGGAAGTGCTTGGGCAGATGTTACCATCAGCCCCTTATAGAAATATAGAATCTCCTTTTTAATGTCCTCAGGATCGACAGAGTTTGTCCAGTCAAGGAATTAAGTTCCACTATTTGCTTTTTATTTTGTATCTCCTTCACCACTACAGAGAAGTACTTGGTATTAACATCACCAAGTTTGATCCAGGTTGCTCTTGCCTTCTGTTGCATTGCACTCTCTTCAATGAGAGTCATTTCTCTAGATTCAGAATGGTTTCTTTTCCCAACTTTAATAGATCATTTGTGCACTGACTGATTATCTTCTGCTAGATTTGTTGTAGATCCATTCTTACATTCTCAATTTTTCTAGTAATACCCATAAATTCCGCCTTATTTAGCTGTCTTAACGACACATTCAATGCTTTCATCTTGTTCCACACATTTTGCATTTTATAACCCTTCTGAGGTTGTTCCCAAATTGTGGTAACTATGTCAAAGAAAGATGTATGTTCAGTCCATACATTGAAGAATCTGATGGGATTTTCATATTCCTTTGTATCTGTTGTAAATTGAGTAACATTGGGGAGTGATCAGAAATATTTGGCACATCATACTCAGTGATAACACTACCCCATTGCATCATCTATTCAAAATTACCCAAGCTTCTATCCAGTCTACAACATATTCTATCTGTCTCCAGTTGACTGTTGGTCCTTGTATAATATGCTCATTTCCATGGTTTCAGCATAGGTCACAAGGTTACCCATTATTGTATCATTTGAAGTTAGCAAAACACTGAAATCTCTATTAATAAGCCAAGGTTTAGAGATACCCTGAGCTACTTCCTGTAATGCACTCTACAAAGGCTTCCTTTGGTCAATGGTGTTAAATCCATCGACCACAGTTAGAAAACAGTCCACCAAGCTCTTAATGCCTCTAACATGACAATGAATGAACTGACTGTCTAACCTGAGGTGCTTTACTATATAAGTGTTAGGATCCCAAACAACCCAAATTCTCCCATTAGCGGCATATTGGTAGTTATTCAAAGCTTCCCATCTTGGTATGATATTTCTACTGATTGCTTGAAATTTATGCTCTTTAACTCTTGTTTCAATTATTCTAACCAATTTGATTTTCTTTGCTTGGATATAATTCCTCAGTTCCTTTTGTTTATACCTCTTGTTCACTCCCCTAATATTCCAGAATAACCAAGTCATTGATTATTATTAGGATCCCTTCCTGTTTCTCTAGGAGGTTCAATGTCTTCACGCGTCCCTGTTGAAGAGCCTCAAATCCATTCTTAGTCTTAATAGATCCCAAATTAGGGAAGTTTATCAAGTTTAGTTCTGGACTCATGGATACTTTTCCTCTAGATATAGTTTTGTTCTGTAATATTTGTCAGCTTCTGAGACCTGTCTCCTTATCCCATTACCATCTGTGTTTTGGGAAGTCAGCCAGGTGGCTTGGCCTATTATAGTGATTTGCCCTTGGTGTGCCTTCTCAAATGAAACATTGCCTAGAGATGTGTTAGGTCCAACATCCTTCAAAAGGATGTTATTTGTTTCAGTGCTTGTGATGATCTCTTAGCTATGTCCTCGCTTCTTCCATACTTGTGTAACCTTCTTTGCTACATCGCTCCTACTGTTTTGATTGCCTTGTTGTCTTTCCACTCAATTCTGAGTTATGCATTTGTGTCCAATAACCTGACATTGTTCACAAAACTCAAGTTTCCAATCATATGTGATCCCCTGTTGGAACTTCTTTTCATTTGGATCTTTAACTTCAATTGTAATGGGCAACCTCTTTGTAACATTTACCTCAATCAACATCCTTGCATAAGAAATCCTACTTTGTTTAGTAGTGCATTCATCAGCAAAAATAGGATTTCCAATCGCACTAGCAATTCTACTCAATGAGTTTATTCCATAACAGTTCAGGTAGCTTTGGAAATCTAACCCACAATGGAATTTCAGCAGGAAATTCTTCATTGAAGTTGAAATCAGGAGACCGCGCCTTCAATATAATGGGTCTACTACCAATAGAGTAAGGGCCAGCATGATAAATCTCATTCAAATCCTCAATAGATTAAAATTTGATCACATATAGTATCCTTTTTCGTGTAAGTAAATATCTGGTTCAACAACCTTCCAATTTCTATTAACATATCTTTCATTGAATTATTGTCACGACCCTAAACCGGAACCGGTCGTGATGGCGCCTATCGTGAAACAAGGCCAACCGACACAAACCCCCAAACCAGCTAAGCAGTTATAATAATTCATTTTAAGTCACTAATAAGCTATAAATCCCAAAATGAAGAGTAGAATAGAACAGTGCGGAACCAAACACAGCCCAACATCGGCGTGTCACTAGTCATGAGCATCTAAACATCCGTCTAAGAGTTTGGAAAAGCACTACACGGTCTATTACAGAATCTAGTACAAGGGAAAAGTAAAGATAGGAGGGAGAAGCACTGGGCTGCGAACACCAAGCAGCTACCTAGTGAACTCCGAACAGCCTGCTGGAAGCAATCAGCCCTCGCTAGTGTGACCCGAGACTCCTGGATCTGCACACAGGGTGTAGGGAGTAATGTGAGTACGCCAACTCAGTAAGTAATAAAATTAAAGGCAGCTGAGTGATAAGAAAACACGTAAAACACAGCAAAATGCTACAACGAGGCAGTACAAAACCAATACAATGCAATAAAGCAGTGAAAACTTGAAAAACAACACCTTAGTTTAGTGAAAACCTCTTTAAAACATCTTTTAATAGTTCAAACGAGTGAATGAAAATAGGGAGAAAAGATAGATACATAAATCAGCCCCTCGGGCAAAATCAACAGAATCAGCCCCTCGAGCTATATCACAATCACTCGTATCAGCCCCTCGGGCTATAACATGGAACAACATCAGCCCCTCGGGCTATATCACATATCACACTGGGTACCCGCGCTCACTGGGGGTGTACAGACTCCGGGAGGGGCCCCTTACGGCCCAAGCGCAATAACAAGCCATCTTGTGGCATAATCAAATAGGCTATCGGCCTCATATCAAGCAACCTCGTGGCGTACAACTCAGGCTCTCGGCCTCAAAATCATGAACCAGCACAATACCGCTGCGGCGCACAGCTCGATCCCATAATAACCTCACAACACAGGCCCTCGACCGTACTCAGTCAGATATCTCTAAAAGCCACTCGGGCACAGTAAAATATGATGCTCAGCCCAAAATATCAATTAAGATGTCAAAACAGAGTAAACATGGCTGAGTTATGAAAACAGTATAATATAGCATGACTGAGTACAAATATAAAGTCAAGATAGTGAGGAATAGTAGTAAAAATTCCCTAAGGGTCCAAAATAGTTGGCACGAGGCCCAAACATGGCATTCAGCCCAAAACATGATGATAGCAAACAGTTTCAATCAAATACGCAATTAAACAGTCATACGGGATGGACTAAGTCACAATCCCCAATGGTGCACGACCCCACGCTCGTCATCTAGCGTGTGCGTCACCTCATAATAGCACAACAATGTGAAATTCGGGGTTTCATACCCTTAGGACAGCATTTACAATCATTACATACCTCTATCCGGTCCAAACTCTAGCCCGCGATGCCTTTGCCTCTCGAATCGGCCTCAACTCGCGTCGAATCTAACTAAAATCAGAATCATGACGTCAAAATATGCTAAGGGAACAAAGTCCATACGAAAATAATCAAATTACGATACAAAACCCAAAATTAACCAAACCCGACCCCCGGACCCACGTCTCGGAATCCGATAAAAATTACATCAATAAACTCCTTATCCTCCTACGAGTTCATCCATATCAAAAGTACCAAAATCCGACCCCAAATGACCCCTCAAATCCTTAATCAAAGGTCTCCAATCTCAAGCCCTAGTTTCTTCAACATTTACCCACAAATTTTCATAACTTTCCAGCCTAATCAATGAAATAACACCATAGGAACGAGTTTTATGATCAAAAATCTTACCTCAATGAAGTTCCCTCTGATTCCTTCTCCAAAATCCCCCAAAAATCTCCAAAATCGATTTAAAAATGGTGAAGAAAGGCTGAAAATCGCGAAGGAGGGTTTATATACTTTCTGGCCCACGGTTTTTGCACCTGCGACCCAATTCCGCTTCTGCGGTCAGGAGCACCGCATCTACGGTTTTCACTTAAAACCTCAACTCCGTACCTGCGATCGAACACCCGCACCTGCGATACCGCAGGTGCGCTCAAACAGCCGCTTCTGCGGTTCCTGCTCCCATGGCCATTTCCGCATCTGCGACCCACTGGTCGCTTCTGCGAGCCCGCACCTGCGGTCCCCTAGCCGCAGGTGCGGTTATGACAGCAATAGGAAATCTTCAGCTGCCAAACCCAACTCAAAATCTTCCGTCAACCATCCTAAATCACCCCGAGGCCCCCGGGACCTCAACCAAAAGCACAAACAAGTCATAAACCACTATCCAAACTTATACCAATCTTCAAAACACCTCAAACAACATAGAATCAACCAAATAACATCGGATTCAAGCCTAAGGTTCCAAAAATCTTCCGAATTCCGCTTTGAACAAAAAGTCTATCAAACCACGTTCGAATGACCTGAAATTTTGCACACACATCCCAAATGACACAACGGACCTACTGCGACTCCCGGAAATTCCATTCCAACCCCTATATCAAAATCTCACCTATCAACCGGAAAACGCCAAAATTCCAATTTCGCGAATTCAAGCCTAAATCTACTACGGACCTACAAAACACGTTCCGATCACACTCCCAAGTTTCAAATCACCTCCAGAAACTATCCGAACCATCGGAACTCACATACAACCCTTTTTCACATAAGTCAACATCCGGTTGACTTTTCCAACTTAAGCTCACTAAAAAGAGACTAAGTGTCTCAAACCTTACCAAAACCTCTCCGAACCCGAGCCAACCAACCCGATAACACATAATACAGCTGAATAAGGCAATAAGAAGCAAAAATGGGGGAAACGGAGCGGTAACTCATGAAACGACCAGCCGGGTCGTTACATC